TCTCACTCTCCCTCCTGCTTTCGAACGAGAGGATGCATGAGAGACTGCTCCAGACCGTGGAGAGCGGAGAGAGGGTGCTGCCTTGGGGTTCATTATTCAGGGCTATTGATTTCCATCCACCTCCTACCATCAGCCCACCCAACGCCACCGGCGACCGTGAGTGAGGGAGAAAGAGGGATTGAACGATGGAGATGGAACGAGAGCGAGATTGACGGGTGGCTGTTCTCTCTTGCGAGCTTCCTATCTCTCTTTCTTTCTCTTCCTTAGACCCTCAACATTTCTGCTCCCAACATGCTGCGTCAACCTACATACTGACTGACATCTGTTAAACCGAGCCGCTCGTTCATGACGAGCTCGCGTCTTATAATATTGGTCCGTTGCTTATGGCGTCCCTATTTAATCCGTTTATCGATTGGACATTAAGTCGATAAGATCAATTTTGAAGTGGAAAATGGAAATCCGTGAACGAATAATTGATTGTAACACGTGTCCATTTTATTTTAAATATGTCAGATTTATTCATGAAAATTTGCGGTTTATATGCATATTATAATAGACAATATATATCAAAGAAAAGAATATATATCAATATATAATTTTATTGATATACAATATAATATTATTACAAATATATAATGACAGTATTATAATAATTATTGAAATAAATCTCAGAATTACTTTTTGTACGAATCGTTTGTGAAAAACTTCCGATAGATGCGAATCAACCTATAAATGTAGGTGACAAGAATATATGTAGAATAATGTTCGGTACTAAATTCGCTTCTCTTTCTTTCTCGAAATTGTCTACTTTTGCACATTCTCGCGGAGTAGCGTTATCCTTGCCGATCCTTCATCTCGGATTCGGATTTCTCCGTCGTTTCCTATGGAGTTGACGGAGTCGGGAAGAAACTTCTACCGAAACTTTCCACCCATAACGACGGTCCGATAGGGCTCCCAAGCTTTCTCTTCGGAATTTCATGCCCTGGGTTTCCTGTTTGTGGAGGATCAGCTTGAGGATCATGGATAATACCGCAAGACCAACGGCCAATCGGTTTTATCCCTTTGTTTTCAAATCAGTGTAGATAAAATATCGCATCGTCTGCTCGATGAGAAATTCGTGCTTTATCGTTTCGATGATATACGTTATTAAATCTTTTCATTAAATGTATTTCATTCGTAATGTATACGCGGTCATGTTAACATCATGGTACATTTACAATGAATGATTATTAATTGAAGCGAATATGGCAAAAATAATTCAATATTAATATACAAAATAATTCAATATTAATATATGAACTGTTTTATTAATAATCATATAAAGTTATAATCATATAATTTTTATATTATTAAATAAATTTTATGTGTTTTTATCTCTTTTTTGTCTGAAAAATAATATTTAGTCATCATTCAATATGTTTATCAAGCATTCTTTAATAGTAAGTTATTAGAATAATTAGAGCGACGAGATTTATTGGGATGTCTGACCATATTTCGCTTTTACTCCTTACTCCAAATAGAACTACTGTATTTGTGAAGATTCTGGCAGTTGTGGTATCATTATATATTGAATATTTTGTAGATATTTCTGTATTATATCGATTTCTAACGTTCCTGCATTGTTTATTAGAACTTATTATTTCAAAAATAATGTGCCATATTTTTATTATCACACGACTCTTCTCATCACAGAAAATAATTTCAACTTGTCTCAAATCAAAGGATGTATTAATTTATCCTGTTTTTCTATCGTACATTCTTTTGTATCAGTTTTTATATGTTCCGAAAAAAAGTTATAAATTTCATCTGAATCACATGCAAGATCGAGCACACTTCAGATTACGATATGCACGTATACAATCAATTACTAGTCACAGGTTTCTCGTTTTCCCGTCTCGAAATTGATCCAGTATGCGGAAGCAGCACGGGTTTGTTCTCTTTGACCGTGCCCAACGTGACGTAACGTAAAACCCCATTAGGTGTTAGCTCCTCCGTCGACGGTTAAACCGTTACTCGGCTGCCGTTCGTAGGTGGAACGAGACGCGCCGGCAGTATTGGTGGACGGGATATATACGTAGTCAGCGTCGGCAGAGAGAGAGAGAGAGAGAGAGAGAGAGAGAGAGAGAGAGAGAGGGGAGGGAGAGAGAGGGAGAGAGAGAGGGGGGGTGGGGGAGAGGGAGAGAGGAGGAGAAAGAGGGAGAGAAAGCGAACACACCGGCGCGCAGGGTTGTACTGGCACTGTGTGTGCCTATAGGGATTGCAGCCGCCGCGGGCGCCGGCGCGAAACCGTCGCTCGCGAGACCACCTCCGCGTGGTGGGCTCGTGACGTCAGCTATCCTCAGTGTGCGGAGAGCGACCGCAGTGTACACCATCTCCACGTTTTGGTAAAGGAGGCGGCGTCGTTGCCGGAGTGCACGAGTTGTACATCGCCGTTGATCGTACGACGATCAGCTGGAGGACACACAGCTCGTCGTAGCCCCCTTCATTTTCTCCCCCCATCCCCCACCGTCGTCGTCACCCTCCCTGTCGTCGGTTCGTGATCCGGAGGGATCTGTAACGAGACCTGATAAGCACGCGCACGAGGATTTCGGACGGATTTTCGTCGGTGGAAGAGGACGCGCCGTCGTCGCCGCCAGCCGCTCGACGAACTCGCGATTATTTTCTTCCCGCGGCTGGCCCGCCGTCCGCTCCGTCACTCTGCTCCGTTTCGCTCCGCTCCGAAGTGACGCGGCCCTTTCTCCTTGATGTGTACGACGACGACGACGAGGCGGAGGACGGTCGGTAGTCACGCGGACGACGCTCTCGCCGGCGATACCAGCGTTTCGGAGTCGAGTGACACCTAGCACGAGGAGCGTTCGTTGCGGGGACAGCAGGGTGGCGAGTCCGGTACGACGATACTTCCCCCGCGTATCAGTGGTGATGGTTATCGATGTTTTTTCCTCGTGACGTTGGTGTTTAAATGTCTAACGGGTACTGACCACGCGCGACGTTCTCGGGCTCTCTCATTCAAACCGCGAGCTTACGATTTAGCGCTATTTCCTCGTTCTTCGTTCTGAGACACGAGATTCGTTCCATCGCTCGGTGCACCGCGAATTAACTCGACGTTTTCGCAGACCAGTCAGTTTAAAGGCGTGATCGAGGACACGTGGACTTGGAGCGGATCGCTCTTAGCTCACGTGGTCGCTAGCTGCGACATACCGGCGGCGCTCGTGGTCGTACGACGCTGCGACTCTCGCGTACGTTCCGCGCGAAGTTTAACTCGGTGTGAGTGATTGCAGGAATAGGAGAATTTCTTTTCCCCCCCTCGAGCAGTACTCGATATTTCATGGTGTCTCTGGGCACGATCAACGTCAAATCCGAACGTGAACGTGAACTGTACTCGGTGAGTGTTTACTTGTGAGGACAAGCGTTTCGTTTGTGCGCGAAACTACAGCGCGTTCCCCATTCTACCGTCGACGAACGAAGCGTACATGTCGCGAATGGAAGGAGAGGGATGACGACGAACGGCCATCGCGATTCCGTTGAAGGGGACAACGTGGACTCGTGAAGAACAGCGTACGCGATTGTGTGACTACGAGACGAAGGACACGGCGGCTCCATTCGTGGCTTGCGACTCTTCGTGGGACTTCCGAGATCCGCAAGCACGCGGAATCAACCAGGCAGCGTGGAGCGCTCGGCGATTGTGTGGCCGCGCGCCGCGGACCTTTATCTCTATCAACCAGGTATTGAATGTAGCCCAGGAAAATTACTTCTCGCCCGCAATCCAATTAGCAAGCTATTGCGTATACCATACGTGTACGATACACTATTATTTTCTTTAGTTTCCCTAGTCAATGTGATGTGTTTGGAATGGCTGCAGTTTCTATAGGCATAGGTTCTATAGAATGTCATAAGTGTAGTTCTATAGAATTATTTTACATAGTTCTATCATTTTTATAGGTAAAGAGTTTCTGGAATATAGGAACACGCGCACATACGGTATGCACATACGGCTATTCTTAAAATTGTTGCAAATTTTTTTATTATCTATCTGGTAGGATTATTGTCTGATCCTAACACCCAGACATCTTATAATGTAGCAAGCTTCTTAAATTATTCCTGAAGTATTTCGTTACTATGCTCCTTTTAGTTAAAACTAGGCAAATAGTTGGGCTTTACTTTCCTGAAATGACAGTGGGATGTTATTTTTCCACGGGAAGAGCTACTCTGCATCGCTCGCTGTATATCTATTTATGAAGGGCGCGAAGGATGGAAATGAAAAGGGATAAGTTATTGCGTAGATACTTGACACGATTTATGCTCCATGGGCTATCCTCGTTTTAATATCCGCCGGCTCCCACGAATTTTACATTTTCTACCTTCACAATTTTACATGACGGCGCAAGCCTCGAAAAAAGATGGCGAAGAACTTCTCGCGGTATGTCGGCCCATTCTTCAGTGACTGCGAGCTTTCGCCGCTTCGCGGGTGCATTCTTGCACCGCCGTCTGTGGGAGCATATTCCAAGTATGCTCAATAAGATTCATATCCGGTGACAAAGGATGTGCTATTTTTCTCGTGACGTTGCATGCTTTGACTGTTTTTGAGCGAAACGCGTATTTTTTACGAGTCGCGGCGTATCTCTTATGATGATAATGAAATCCATCGGTAATGTTTTACTAATAACGTAATGTGTGTGTATGTGTGTGTGTGTTTATGTAGGAAAGTAAAGAAAATTGTATAGATTCTCTAAAGTATTCATAACGACCGGAATATCGTTGGCATAGCACACTAAGTACTAGGATTGAAAACAAGGGTTCCCAAGTTTAAATCTCAGTCTTCTATTAATTTTTCCACCTTCTACACACACACACACACACACACACACACACACATATGTACATATGAGATAAAAAAGAGAGGAGTGAGAGAGAGACAGAGAGAGAGAGAGAGAGAGAGAAAGAGAATGATCCATTTATAAGAGCATAAAATATTAACAAAACGAATTCCAGCGAAATGCTAATGATATATCAGTGGTGTAATATCTCCATACCGCATAAATATTCTAGGCATCAAATTCGTGCTCCGAAAGGGAAATGGCTAGTGGGCGAGCTGGGAAAAGTTTAAAGGTTACTGATTTTCGATCAGATTGAACGAAGTGGTAAGGTATCTCTTTCGGTTTTCGAGCTGTGGTATAGGTTCACGGATTTCCAAATAAGTTACACGCGGTGGAAATCGCTGTATAAAATCGGGAGGAATCGGCAAAGGTCGATTAAATTTTCGCGTTTTTCGTTGAACCGTGCCCACTCGACGCCCAGTGGCACTTGAGTTTTGGTTTTGGCAGCGCCTCCAAAAGTGTTTCTCTATATTTGCAATCGAGGCAGGTTACAGCCTGACCCGAATCTTTAAGCCAGACCACGGTCACGGGATGCCTCGACGAACAGGCACGTAGTAACCTACACGCCAGGCTGTGCCAGGAGCTTCTTCCTTTCTTTCTTCTTTTCTGGTGCTCGGTTTATTCCTTTCTTTCCCATGGCCCTCGTCTGAAACTTCGTCTCTGATCGGTCCGCTTCTCTCTCTCTCTATACTTCTCAAGAATATTCGATATAAAAAGCGACCAAGTCTAGATATTATATGAGCTAAAGGAGGACTTTGAAGCGAATATAGAATAAACATATTGAATGAAAATTCTACACCCGCCAGTATTGTTTCTCCATATTAAAATTTACTCTTTGCCGCTACTTTGAAATATTTTCTCGAGTAAGAAAAATATTATATTCCGTAGCATTAATTATTCCCTGCAGTGCTAAATTTTACCTTTGTTAATTCTACGAAATCTTTTGATCGTCATGAAACAATGTACTTTACAGCGGATAAAAAATCTAATCTCATTCGTATTATTCTTCTGTTCTACGCTCTTTCTGTCGAAGCGATTGATTTCTTTTCTTTTTTTTTTTTGTTATAACATAATATCCTGTCGCAATACTTGAAGAGGTCTTCAGTATTCCGGACGCATTTCCAACGCGATGTTGGTAAAGAGTCGCACTTGTTGGTGTCCAGGGACATGGGGACATTGGACGTGGAACACCGAAGAGCCGGTAGAGAAAAGGTAGTAGTGGTAGAGGGCGAGGATCGTACTCGGAGGGACACTGGAAAGCGAAGCGAGTGCGCGGTGGTCAGCCCTGGAGGGTCTCTTGGGAGATTTCTGGACCGCAGTCCTAAATCAGGTTTCATTCCCCTGGCGAGTCTCTGGCACCTCGAACCCTTTCTCTGTTCGTCCTTCTCTCTCACTCTCTCTCTCTCTCTCTCTCTCTCTCTCTCTCTCTCTCTCTCTGTCTCTCTCTCTCTCTCTCTCTCTTTCTCTCCCTCTTGTACCTGTTTGCGATATATCGAATAAAGCGTACGAGTGACTCGCTGCAACTGCTTTCTTTTTTCTATGTCTGACAATTTTCTTCTACGTGCCGAATAGCGTGAAAGACGGAGAATAACCCGAGCTGAAGAAATACTCAAACATCACGACGTATAGATTGGACGATCAGTCTTCTATCATTCCGGTTCAATTTTTCGAAATGTACCGAGAAGAACGTTTTTTTCTCGCGGATTAGCTTTGGTCGTAGTATTATCTCGCGTGTGAATGTGTAAAGTCGAAGGTAATGGGAACACTGCTATAGCGAGGGGATGATCGTTCGACCGGGAGATCTGTACTAGGCACATGCATTATCACAGACGATATCGCCGCAGCGCAGGCGTGGGTTACACACACTAATACCACACATTCGAAGACACGTGCGCGTAATAAGATAGCGAGAACACGCTCCGATACGAGACATTGCAGGAACGAAGGGAGGTAATTTCTCGTCTTGTGCAAATAACTTCCTCAATCTTCCTCGGTCTTATCGACAGCTTTGCAGGAGGTGGAGCTTAATCCTTCGCGCATTTATAAATTTTCTAGGAATCAGTAATAATTTGCAGAAATATTTTGCGTCTTCTTTTTATCATCACGCAATTACATGTGTAAAATCGAACGATACTGATATTTATATAATATGTACCTGGAGCGCAAATAAATTAATGACACTAGTTTACAAATTTTGAATAATTTTTTACGCAAAAAAAGGAGATAATTATTGTTAACGTATTTTGGAGTACTGAGTTCGAATCTGCTGCTAGAAAAATTTTATCAGATCGAATTTTTAAATTGTAGCATGTCAATTTTAAGATAACACATTTATTTTTAAGATATATTTTAAGGTACAATATTTCTTTCCGAATAATTAGGTGTGCGACAAGTAATGCATTTTCACCAGGATTTAATGATAATTGAGAAATGTTATCAGGAGTATTGGGACAGAGTCATGCTAGGCGATTACTGCTGGACTAATAACACAAATCATTTTTATTTTTCTTATAAAAAAATATAAATTAAATGCTAACACTTTTGATTTGTTTTCTACTTTTGATATAAGAAATATAAAAATATAAAAAATAAAAAGTTTCATTATTGGAAAATTTTTTTCTTATCTCAAAAATCGGAACTAACAGTAGCATTCGGACTCAGCGTCGAAAATTACCCTAGAAATAAATAATCATTATATGCTCTTGCACTAAAACCCTTGTAAACTAATATTTTAAGTAAATTAAAAATATTTAATAAATTAAATAAGTTGATAGAAAAAAGAGATAAGATATGCATCATAATAAATTAAAAATATGTAGCGAATTAAATAGATTGATAGGAAAAAGAGATAAGATGTACACACACACACACACACACACACACACACACACACACACATACATTATAATATAAAAATTAATTAAATTATTTATACCAATGTGTAATCAAAGAGTATGGACGTCTCTACCACGTCAAAAAACGGAGATAACAATTTTCGAAACTCGCGGAACAATCCTTGGCATGCGTGTGTCAAAATGTTTCACGTGTGCTTACAAAGTGCCGTCGTCATACATTTGCGAACACGAGCAGAAACCGAGGACCGCCTTTGTACTATTACGGCCGGAACATTACAGAAAGAGATACTCGCGCTTTCTCTGCGCGTCGTTGCTTCGTATGCAACGACGACGACGGCGACCTACGCCGTTGCGCCCATAAACATAGATCAAGCTCAACAATAGCCTGCCGGTAAACGTATTGACATTTTATACTTCCCACCAGCCGCTGACTGGTTGCCTCCGCGAACGTCAGTGTGTTACTCAACTGCGATACCAGGACAAACTGCAGGATACGCTGTCCTCGCCGCGATTCTACGTACGACGAGATGCTAATGGACGAGAACGATACGGCGGGTAGATTTATGAATGGTTGTGATCGAAGGCGCGTTCGAAATGTCATTAGTTTTGTTACAGATTCGTGATCAGAAGTCGAGAGAAGGTAAAACAAAACTTGCAACTTCATAATAAGATCAACCGACTCTCGCTTTACTGTTAAATTCATAATGTCAAATTATGCTCAATTTGAGTTATTTGTAATCATTTCTATAGGTCGTTACTGCTCCTACTCATTAATTTAATTAAAACAACGAAGTTAAACAATTTAACTTAAGAAAATATATTAAATTTGACTCTAATTTAGTTTATTATTTAAGTGCATAAATTAATATCGACGTCGTTTACTTTGAAACTACAGAAATGGGTAATGATTTACATTTTGACATGTATGAAAGTTAAAAGTAACAAAATGTTATTTAACTCAAGGAACTGGGTTACCATTGTTTGTTTGATATT